TGAAATGAGGGAGTGTATATCATGTCTTTTGACGGCTAGCTTATGTTCGTGGATACGAAGACGAAGGGGACGTCCACTTTGGCCAATGTAGTGTTTTTCACAGTTGTTACAGTTTATTTTGTAGATGATGTTGGTTTTGTCTTCTTTTGCTGTTGAGTCTTTTGGTTGACATAGAATTGAGTGCAGCGACTTTGTTGGTTTGTGTACGACGTCAATTCCTAAAGGTTTGAAGAGTCTTTTAGTGATTTCTGAGATATCCTTTATATATGGTAAGGCGATTTTCTTTGTGTTTTCCTTGGTGGCTTTTGTTTTGGTAGGTTGGCTTGGGGGTATATGTTTCTTGATGAAATTCCGGGGATATCCATTCTTTTGGAAGACGTCCATGAGATACTTTTCTTCAATTTTTCTTAAGGTGGGAGTGCTGCAGTGAGTCCTTGCTCTCTTGAATTGTGTTTGTATGCAGTTCCTTTTGTGTGCTATTGGGTTGTTGCTGTTGTAATTCAGTATTTGGTCTGTGTGAGTTGATTTCCTATAAACTTGAGTTTCTAATTCTCCTGTAGTTGTTCGCCTGACTAAGACGTCCAAAAATGGTATTTTGTTCTCGGATTCCTCTTCTCTTGTGAATTTGATGTCGTTGAAGACGTTGTTTATTAAGTTGTGAGTTTTGTCTAATTCGTTTCTTTTGATTATTACAAATGTGTCGTCGACGTAGCGTATCCAAATCTTGGGTTTGATCTTTGGTAGAATTATGTTTTCGAGTCTTTGCATCACTGCTTCTGCAATCAAACCTGATATTGGCGATCCCATGGGTGTTCCTTTGACTTGTTCATATATTTGGCCGTTGAATTGGAAGTATGTTGTTAGGCATAGATTTATGCATTCCATCCAGCTTGTGTGTTGCATTTTTGATTGTTGTGGAAGTTGTTCGTCGTTGCTAAGTAATTGCTCCATGGTTTCTTTTGCTAGTTTTTGTCCGATAGAGGTATATAATGCTGTCACGTCGAAGGATACCATTATTTCTTGTTCATCTGTTTGGATGTCTCTGATTTTCTCTAGGAATTGGATAGCAGAGTTGATGGAGTGATCACAGGATTCCGTTAGGTGTCTTAGTTTTCTGTATAATTCCTTGGACAAATTATATGTTGGAGTTCCTGGGAGTGATACAATTGGTCGTAACGGGATATTTGCCTTGTGTATTTTGGGTCTGCCGTAGAATCGAGGTAGGACTGGTCCATTGGATTTCATTCGCCATTGGTCTTGTTTTGTGATCTGTCCAGTTTTGCTGAGCTTGTTTAAGGTCCTTTGGATGCGGTTGTCCAATGTTTGTATGGGATTTGTTGGGAGTTCTTGATATACATCTTCATCTTTGAGTAGTTCTTCAGCTTTCTTGGTGTATTCTTCTCTGTCCATGACTACTGTTGTTCTTCCTTTGTCGGCTGGTAAAATGACGATGTCCTTCCTATTTTTCAGCTTTTTGAGGGCCTTTAGTTCTTGAGAGTTGAGTTGTGTGTGTTGTCTTTTCTGTTTGACCATTGGTACACAGGTGTGCTGCGTAAATTGTTCTACGTATACTCCTTGAAAGTCTTTGGAATAGAATCTCACTTGATAAGTCACCATAAAGTTGTAACTTAATAAATATAGGTTTCTTATGTGCAGTGAGAGTCTCAGGCTTTTTCTCTGATGTTTTCATATGTTTCTTTATGAAACTACTCGCATAGCCCATCTCTGTCAAGGAATCGTGAATATATTCAAATTCCTTTTGTAAGACTCCATTATGGAGAGATCATCCGTACATATCTTCCTTGCTCTGTTCGCAAGACATTTTACAACTTTCCTTTTATATTTAATGGGCACGTGACTAAGGAAGTATGTGTATTGACCTGTGAATGTGCTTTTTCTGTACACACTTCTCCCAAGTGACCCATCTTCTCTCCTACTTAGCAAGATATCCAGGAAATGTAGTTTATTCTTCTGCTCCTCTTCACAAGTAAAGGTAAACGAAGGGTGGATGTTGTTGAATTTAATTAACAATTCGTCTATTTTAACATTCTCATCAGCTAAGGTAAATGTATCATCGACATATCGGCAATACATATCCAACTCCTTGATGTTATCCTTCAATTTCCCGTTTTCAAGTTTTGCGAGAAAGAAGTCAGCTAATATTAAGCCTAATGGTGAACTACCCATAGCTATTCTATCTACTTGTCGATAGTATGAATTATTGAAGACGAAGTGAGCATTCATTGTGCATTTAAGAAGTAATTCTTTGAGGCTATACAAGGGGATTCCTAAGTCTAATTGTCTATCGGTGATTTCTTGACAAATATAATCAACTGTTTCCATAAGCGGTACATTTGGTGAATAGTGATGATACATCCATGGATAACATGCGTTTATACCTCACATTAGTCTCGGATATTTTAGAAATAAAGTGAACTTATAATATATTGTAAACTTATACATATATATTGGAGTTAAGCCTGATAAGATCTAATTGAAAACAACAATATTGTTCGCTTAAATGTGTGTTGTTCTAAATTTTATTATGGGAATATTTAATATATAATGTAATTAATCATTTGTAAAAGTTTTATGTGGTTTGTTCATTTAAGTAAGAGAGAAGTAATTAGGATCTGGTCATCTAGAAAAGATCTACTAGAAATCTCATTGAATTTTCTCGAATCTACGCAAATCATTTTGAAATAAGCAATCTTTATGTTTAGAGCAAAGAATAGTTGCCTTTTTTCGGTAATTTCCTCTTCTGGCTCTATAGTTTTTTTTATGAATATGTTTATATGCATAGAATATTCTAGAGTAGTAGTCAATGTCTATCTGTCTGTCTGTCTCTCTGTTTTCGACATAGATTTTTGCACCGATGTTCAATAATTCAAGGTGCCACACTGCCTCCTTGTAGCACACAAAGCAAGCGAAGAAAGTATAGGAAATGCAAAATGGAGATAGGAAGCAGAGTTGTGAGACAAAGAAATAGTCATGAGGAAAAACAATATAGTTTCATTGGAAATCATAAGTCACAAGGAGTGGATGCGTCTGCCGTAGTCATTGACAGCGATCACTTTAAGCCATATCACCGATTGTCTCCAGCCTCCATTGGTTTTTACCGTCCCGAGGACCCCAACCAGTCAGGAAGTCTACACCTTCCTACGTGGCTGTCTTAAACTAACTGTTGTGGATTTCATTGAATGATGAAGTCATGTTTTGGTTTGACCGCCGGTAGCTCTTTTCCAGCCTGACCCTATGTCAGCTAACATTGCCTGTCGGTCGAGTAAGGCGATGACTAGGCATACGTAACACATGTCCCAACCATCTCAGTCAGTCAGGGTTTTACTCTTGTGATTTATTGCAATAGTAGTCAATAACAATATCAGTGTTTTTTAAATAATATCGATTTGTAAAGTTAGAGCCCTCCTTACCTAGAACTCGACGCCTAATCTCAATATTGCTCACTTTATTATACCACTTCACACGGGAGATAGAGCGCAGGCACCTATGGTCAAAGACAACTAATGTCTTCCACTTTCAATGACCAGATCTCACAGCTAGCCTTAAAGGAGGACGGAGCTGACTGATGAGCAATACACCCACCCTTTGGTCGATAGCCAGATGTCATATCTGAGATGGAGTAAATTGGCATGTTTGAAACTGGCTTTCTGTATCTGTACTAAGATTTCTTCAGAGATCAGCTTGCTGGGGCTGATGCAACTTCCCAAATGAGTGAAGCGGTCAACGTGCTCTACCACTTCACTGCCTATTTCTAAGCTAGGAGTAGGTCAGCGTAGTCCAGTCCTGTAACATCATCTTACATTTCGTGGGAGGAAATCGCATGCCAAACATTCGTAGATTGCAGCTCAATGTGTTCAGAAGACTCTGCATTTTGTTAGCGTCCTCGCCTAGATGGACTATATCGTCTGCATATTCTTGGTCAACGAGATTATTCCCCGGTGGTAACAAGTCAATCCCTGAGTCGCTGAAGTCACTTAGAGTTAAGTCCATTAACATATCCATGATGAAATTAAATAGAAAAGGGGATAATGGGCATCGCTGAAGGACACCACTAGTCCTGACCACTTCAGATGACAACTCACCGTAAGCCCTCACCTGGCTGCATGAGTTCTAGTAGAGTGCCTTAATCAGTGCAATATATTTTCTCGGAATTCCCTTTACAGCCAAGCATCTCCAGAGAACCTCTCGGTCGACAGAATCAAATTCCGCCTTTAGTTCAAGAAATATGACGATTGTTGGATGCCGGTAAGAATGCTATGTTCTAGAATCTGTCGGAGGGTGAAGATATGATCAATACACCCTCTTCCAGGTCTAAAGCCTGCCTGGCTCTCTCGTGTTTGTGCCTCCTGAGTACCACTTAGTCTACACATGATTATTGAGCCTAGGACTTTAGATACTATATTAGTCAAGCTAATCCCTTTGTGATTATCACAGGAAGACTTGTCTCCCTTTTTGTATATGGGGATAATCAATGACTTACACCAACCCGATGGGACTCCTTCTGATTCCCAGGCGCTGTCTAGTACTTTAGTTAACACAGACAGTAAACTGTCTCCACCGTCCTTAAATACCTCTGGAGTTATTCCATCAGGTCCCGATGCTTTGCCTTGTTTCAGATTGGTGACAGCTTTAGTAACCTCAGTTAGGGACGGAGGACCTGTGTCTATATCCCATTTAGGGAGGTGTTGGATGTTTCGCAGGTTGAGAGTGGCTGTGGACCAATTAAACTGCTCCTCATAGTGCTCTTTCCAGCGATCTAGTCGTCTCTCCTGCGAGCTAATTCCTCTACGTCCAATGTGATTCGCTAACTGCATTAATATAGGAGGAATAAAACAACACTGGCAGTTATTATACTCTAATAAATTTTGTTTACTTATATGCCTGCATATTGATTTTTGCTTGTTTGGTATTGATTATAGATGAATCGTCCAATAGACACTTTGACTGCATCAATCGCCAATGCATCTGTGTCCCCCGGTATGCAAAACTTATCCCAACCTTCTTCAGCTTTCCAGGTATGCCATTATCCTGTTGTATCAATTGCCAACGTCTTTCCTAAACTATCACAAGATGTTACATCAGAGAGTGCAAAATTAGTTCCTGTCGGTGTACCGAATACAGTCACCCTGCTCTTAGGTCAGAGTACAACACCACAAACATCAACTTATGCTATTCCTGCTTCAGTCTCTTCACATCCTAGTGTTGTTCCAATGCAAATTCCTGTATCTGTTGGAACACATTTAACTCCAGCGGTTAGTTGTCCATCACATCATACTAGTGGTGGTCCAGCCAAGCTAGTTGTGTCTGTAGCCTATCCAAATCAAGCTGTTGCTGCTGCTGCTGCCGCCGCCGCCAGTGTTATGCCGACAACATCAACTCAGTATATTTCACCAAATCCTGTGAATAATAGACAGACAGACAGACGCCTGTGATGCCTAATCATCAAATTTAAATTGTACATATAAACTTACAGTCGTCCCACATCAAACAAACAACGTGTACAAAATGATCTCAATTTATATTTATATATATATGTATAATTTCTTTGTAAATTCTTGATTTCTTCCGTACTTTCTCTCCCTCTTTCTTTCTTTCTTGTAGTTTGCTAACTTTAATTTGTCTGCTAATTTCTTAACACACTACTCCTTCTGTATGTATGTATATGTATACTATGGCTGTCTGGCTAATCAGTGTCTTCTTATCTTTTTTTAGTTGTACAGTATTATCTATTATTCTATAAGATAATGATTATTAGTATTAGTATTGCTATTATTATTATTATTACTTTCAAGTATTGGTTTTGTGGTCAGTTTTGTTTGATTGCTTGGTGGTTGGAGGAGATTTCATCATGAGCAGATATCAGTTGGAGCGAGCGAGAGAGAGAGAGAGAGAAGCATTGAAAAACCAGCCACAGAGGGAGTACTGCCAGACAGCTAGTTTTTTCGTCAGCCTAGTTTGGAATTGCCTTTTCATCATCATCACGGGGTTCGAACCCAAAGCCCTCTGGTTACATGGTGAGCTAGCTCGTAGACTATTAAGTCACACAGTGTTGTCATAATGTAATATTAACTGATGATTACGTTTCGAGCACAAATTATTGTCACCCATAATCATATCAAGACCTTTACTCACACAAATGTTTTCCTTCATTTATATACCTGTATGGAATTGACTAGATATTTGAATAAAAATCAATATAGGATAATGTACATTCAGAAATAATAATAATAATATGAGTGTTATTGATCAAATACAATCAGATGGGAAATAAGACCATATAAGGAGGGGATATCTGAGACCCTATGTAGGATTCTTAATAAAGCAGGAATTAGGCTAGTGGTGGCATTCAAACTCACTCAGGTAAGACAAACTCTATAGACTAAAAGACCCGGTGGGTTGACCCAATTCAACAAAATAATATAATTTAAAAAATACCCTGCAATGACTGTCAGTGAGGTCAACTACATAAGTCAAACTATTAGGTTGGGGATAGTCAGATTGTCGAAATATAAGAATTTAGCTTAGGGTAAGAATGGTTGACCCCGCTGGCGAAGATAAGTAATTTAGAATAAAGCTCTGCATTGCACTTCATGCATGCATTGACACACAATAGGGTGGGGGAGGGTTAGAATTCTAAAAAGTAATCTATGTAGGCGGAAGGAGATTGATTACTGAGTCGTTCTTGGTTCATCGAGTCTACATTCAACACAACACATGCAACAGAACTGATTCAATGCAAATATCAGAGATATGCATGGAAGATATTATTACCACCAGTCAGTCAAATCAGAGGAGGATAGTTAATAATCTCAAAATTCAATTCATGTACATCACAACATTCTAACAAGTTACTTATTTCTTTTGACTATAAAAACACTCGTCTTATTTCCCATCTGATTGTATTTCATTGATAACACCATATTATTATTTCTGAATGTACATTATCTCACATTGATTTTTATTCCATTATCTGGTCAATTCTACACATGTATATAAATGAAGCAAAATGTTGTGTGAGTAATGCCTTGATATGATTATGAGTGGGAATAATTTGTGCTTGAATGGTGGTCATCAGTTAGTATTACTGTAAAACAAACACTGTGTGATTTATCAAAATAAAATCTTATCTATAATCGAGTTATACTCTACCACCACAGTCCCCATTTTTATAACTGAATTCCTCAAATAATTTTTTCAATGAGCAGCTTTGTCCTATGATTGAGTTCAGGATCCTCAGTTAGTTCTTTTTTTACTGCTTCTAAGGCCATATTGACTGGTATATTAGTATGAAGACTAGTTATATCAGAACTAACCAATTTTTCATCATTCTCTAGTTGAATGTCGTTTAGTTTAATTTAGATAGGTGGAGAGAAAGGTTAATTACTGAATCCTTGTTCATTGAGTCTACACCAAATACATGCAATAGGAATGATTCATCACTCATACCCGAAATATGGAGCAAAACTACTACTACCAATCAAATCAAGTGAAAAAAACAATGGAACTATATAAATGAATTCAGGAAGTCGTGTGATTACCTTGATATGATTATGAGCAGCAATTAAATTGTGCTCGAAACGTGGTCATCACTGAACATTACTGTACCACACCACTGTGAAACTTTATCAAAACAAAAATTTACCCATAATGGAATTATACTCTACCACAGTGCACAAGTTTTATTCTTATATCAATAATACTTATGGTCTTCTTACTAGGAAGCCTATCAACAAACTCACACGACTTTGTCAAACAAAAGCGAGATTCAAAACCGTCGGATGTTTAAATAATCATATAATTCCGAAATATTAACGTCTACGTACTCCAGTTACTTCAAGCAAAAGAACATCAGCAATGAAAGACGTCAGCTAATTATGTCTTAAAGAAGAACTACATAGAATTATTATAAAGCTGGAGAATATAGGAAATGGGATTGAAAGACACAAACTCAAATGTATGCTAAATGATATAGATTATGAAATTGTGATTGAAACATCCAACATAGATAGCTAGAGAAGCATCCTTGAAGGAATCAAAAACCACGCAGCAAATTAAGAAGCTCAACAAATTATTAGAAGAAAAGAACGGCACAATAAACGAAAAATAGTTGACAACTATATTTCATCTTCTATTGACAAAACAAATTGGGTAATCAACCTCTCTCTCTCTTCAAGAGAATTAAGCTCTAGTGAAATAAATTTGCTTGAAAAGGCATTAAATTTCAATGTAACGGTTAACAAACTAAAACCCTAGCGTAGAAGTAGCATTAAGTTCAATAGATAAGACAACAGCAGAAGGCGTTCGAACTCAATGTACATTAACTCTTAAAAAGCAAAAAAAGCACAGTCAAACTTAGCAAAAACGGAAAGATAGGCTCTAATCAATCTTAAAAATGATAAAACCATCGTTATCAAAAACGCTGTTTTAGACAGATCTGATTATTTAAAGAAAGTAACTGGACACATTGAAACGGGTTTATTATGTGGAAATTAAGAAGCCTGTAGATACAGTAATGAATATCAAAATTTCTGGGTTTTAGTTGTTATGTAACGATCGAAGACAAAGACCAAACAAAGATTGTTTATTGAGAAAATCAACAGATATTTATATATTTTTATGTGCATTATTATCCGTTATTATTAGCAGAGAAACAGCGTTTTCTGATTTTTTATTTTCTCACTGAAAGTTAATCTGTCATCTCTTTGTGGTCGTTTCTTTGAAGGTCAGATCGCCTATGTGCCTGTTGTATCCGCCCCCGCAAAGTCTGGTGTGATTGGTTGTTGAGTCAGTCCTTGTTCGTGTTTATTTCTCATGACCAAGATATGGGAAGTAAAGATTGATGTCAATTACTGTCTACCAGTTTTGGCTAGCAGACAGTTCTCACCACAGTTATATATATTCGTTTTACTACAACAGAATAATTTCAGATCATAATCTGAGAACCCCATGATTAAATGTCTAAATTAAACATTGACAATTACTTATATATTTCAATTAATTTTGTAATAATTAGCACATACCTTTAAAAGTATATTATCTGTATGTCATCGTCTAACTTTGAATATACTACCTATTCTTAATAGTCGTCGTCACATATTTCCGAATTCTCAGAATGTTCTTTTGCAAAGTATCTACTCCTTGTTCCGCAAATTTCCAAGCTTACTATAATGCTGAATTAAAAATCTCACTAATTTTAAACTAACTCTAACATTCTATAGTGATTAACTTTTGAATCTGGGCTGAATTAGGTTTCTTTAAGCGCACAGACTGGAACTCAGTGCTTGTTTTTCGGCATGAGTGGCACTAATTCAGCATCCTGTACTTTTTCTAGGCATTTTCATGGGTAGATTACAACCAACTGGGTTTGCTTATCAACGTAGTTCCAGCTATCACAGGACATATTTAGCATTGACTAGCAGTACTTCAGAACGAAAAGACTGCTACTACAATTTGTCATCATCTGTATCCTATGCTGGCGCAATTTTGAATTTATTCTACAATGTCACTGCAAATCCGTCAATTGACGTCCACTGGTAGCAAACTGTGAATAAGTAAAATATAAGACTATTTGACGAAAATTTGTGTTCCTCACATTTTCAGGATTTACATTTAGAAATGTGTATAGTGGTAAATAATCCCCCAAAATTATTGACCACAGCACTCATCACTGAACATTCGATGCTGACCCTCACCGTTTGAGTCGATTTGTTTAGCTGAAGGCTTCCCGTCAATCATCCACGCCATTTGGTACTCCATCGTTTCACTTTCGTGCACGATAACTAGCTCGCTTAGCTTCCGCTCCAATCCGCGATTTGGTTCCGAAATAAATCTCATAATTTGGACGATCAACTCCGGTGTTTTGGTTTGCCTTCGGTCTACGCGGAACGAATACTATAGAAATTGTGGGTATTAGATATTCCGTTAGTATACTTCGCACTATCCGTGAACGTCAATGCCTTCAGCCTCTAAAGGTGTAATTACCAAACTGTCACTGTTGGCTAGCCTGGCTTCATTTTTATTCGCCTAGGAATAAAAATCAATGTTGTGTTTACTATATGTTGAATAATCCGTGACTTATAAAATTAATAATGCGTTTCTCAATTTTACCTGAATTCCTATCTTCAGGTTACGCGTTCGGACACGATCTTCCAAATTGTGAAAATATGATTTCGTGGCCCTATCGATTATGTCACCACCCTGTGTCGACGACATCAGTTGGCCGGAAAAATACACCATAATTACATCTACAAAAATAAGTACTTCATTAATGAACCTTACATCTGTAGCGGTAAATAATTCCCCAAAATTATTGACCATAGGAATAATTATGTCTAAGAGAAGAATTACATCGTGACAATAGGAATCATCAGTGAACATTGTTTAGCTGAAGGCTTCCTGTCAATCATCCACGCCATTTGGTACTCCATCGTTT